AGAGAGAGAGAGAGAGAGAGAGAGAGAGAGAGAGAGAGAGAGATAAAGCAATTTATTTTCTGACTTTCTCCTGTCTTTCATTTCCTATTGGTTGGGGTGTGCGCCAGTGAACTCTACCTTCCTCCTATTTCTAGGTTGCATTAGAGGTCACATTAGTCCCTTCAGGTAGGTGCTAGAGAAGCTATGATCCAATCTAGCCAGTACACAGACGATCTAGCTGATTGGTTTTTTTGTTTACACATTTATCATTTCCAATATTCTTTATTTCTGTATGTGGGTATTATCTACCACCCAGTGTTATTTCTTTTAGATTGATGGGTTTCATTTTTATACATTGTAGACCAGGTCTGTTCATCAATAAGTTCTATTATTATTACTGTTATTTTTATTGGAATGTTGTTATTTCATGTTTGTATTTAAAGGTTAGTTCTGTTGAAAATAGAATACTTTTGTTGTCACTATATTATTTGTCTGCCTCTATACTTTTAGGTGAGAAATCAGCCAGTATTCATATTGTCCATCCTTTTACATGATTAGTTAATTTTCTCTTTCTGTTCTCATTTTTTTTCTGTCTTTATGTTTATCAGTTTGATATGATGTCTAGCTGTAAATGTCTCTATATTTATCTCACCTGGATTTTACTGAACTTATTGGTGTACAGATTAATGTTTCCCATCAAATTAGAAGTTGAAGCCTATTGTTTGTTCAACATTTTTCCTGTCCTTTTTTGCCTTTTTCTGGAATTCCCATTGCTAATATTTTGGTATGTAGAATTCATTTAGTGAATTTTTATGTTGCTTATTTTACATTTCAGTTCTGTAATTTCCATTTTAAAAATATGGATTCTATATGTTAATTGAGGCTTTTATTTCTCGAGTAACTATTATCATCTTTTTTTTTTTTTTTTTTTTTTAGTCTTAAACCATCCTCACATACTTTGAAACTTATTGTCTGATAAATGCAACATCTGGATCCAAGTATATCAGAGTCCAATTAGAGTAAATTTTTATTGAATATACCCTTCCATCCCTAGCTGTTGGCCACATTTTCAAAGGCAATAACTGGGTTATGTTTTTGCTATTGTTTTTTCTGTTATTATTCTCTTTAAAATAATAAAAGACAAAAAAATTGCCTGGACTTAGTCTATCTTAATCTTTTTGGTGGAATCTGCTCTGTTGTGTGCGGCCATTATGCCTCTGCTCCATTTATTTGTTCTCATTTTTAATCTTTATACAGTTTTCATAGATGCTTATGTTTGTCTGCATAGCTTAGTGATCAGCTTAGTGGTCAAGTAATGATGGAGGCAGAGGCTGTACTCAACCACTGGGAGCCTGTAGGACTTTAAACTTCTGCTGAGATTGGAAGTGCCTTCAGAGTTTAGCGATTTTAAGTTTTTGTGTTCGCCGTCCCCTACTGGGCTTTCCTGCATTTCCCTTCACATTCCTTTATTTTGCAAACCAGGGATGTGTGAGACTGTAATCTTGCTCTTTTGTAGCTCTCTCTTTTTCACGATATGGCTGGATCACCACGTAAGCCAAATGTGATTATAACTTTAGGCTAGGAGTGAGGCAGTTTTCTCCTAACTACTTTATACAATTACTGATGCCCTCGGTTTTGAAAAAAGCATGAGTCCCCACCACCACCATTCACACCGAGATTACCCGGTTTTGGATTAGAGTAGTTGCTTTTCCAGCAAGTCCTAATGTTTTAAAACCACTCTTCTGAGTGGGGGGATATGTAAGCTACCCAGACAGCATCCCACCCATTCTCACCTACAGCTTTTTTCAAGAGTAAGTGCTTTCCAGTGTATTGTCTGGTTTGGTTTATTTCCAGAGCCCTGGAAGAGTTGTGTTTTTTTTCTTTTTTTGACAACTTTGACTCATTTTAGACTTTTTTCTGCCAAGATTTGCTGACCTCTTTACTCTGCCACAGCTGAGAGTTTCTTTCTTTGCCCAGAATAATTTTTTTGCCTATTGCCTTGTTTTTGATCTTTTTGTCTCACTTTGTTAGCTCTTTTATGACAATTGAGAGTTGAGTTTTCCTTAATGATCTAGTATTAAGAACATTTTTAGTAAGTGAATTAAGCATATATTTGCTAATTTGACATATAAATTGTATTTCATTTCATTTCTCTCATATTATTTTAAATGATATTTTCTGGTTTTGTCATATTAATAAAGCCTTAACTATGTTTTATATTGGTGTGTTTTGTATGTGCGTGTGTGTGTGTGAGAAATTTTATGTTTTCAATGTTATCTAGAAAAGTTCATAGTTTTTCTGATGCTTAATAATTAAATTTTTATATTCTCTTATATTCTTAGTATTCATTTCTACAATAATGAATTTTCT